GTCGGGGGGTGTGTATGTGGGGGGGGGGATTCTGTCGTGGGGGTAGTCCATCATGGAGGTATTCCATTATGGGGGGTATTCTATCATGGGGTAGGATTCCGTCATGGGAGGTATTCCATCATGGGGGGGTATTCCATCATGGGGGTATTCCATCAAGTGGGGGATATTCCATCATGGGGGTAGTCTATCGTGGGGGTATTCCGTCATGGGGGTATTCCATCATAGGAGGTATTCCATCATGGGGGTATTCCATCATGGGAGGTATTCCATCATGGGGGGGCGGTCATGGGGATACTCCATCAGGGGTGGTATTCCATGATGGGGGTAGTCCATCATGGAGGTATTCCATTATGGGGGGTATTCTATCATGGGGGTAGTCCATCATGGAGGTATTCCATTATGGGGGGTATTCTATCATGGGGTAGTATTCCATCATGGGAGGTATTCCATCATGGGGGTAGTCCATCATGGGGTAGTATTCCATCATGGGGGGTATTCCATCATGTGGGGTATTCCATCATGGCAGCAGGAGCGTGAGGCAGCTGATCACCTGGCATCCCCAGTCATGAAGCTGAGAGAGATCAATGCTGGTGCTCAGCTTGCTTTCTCCCTTTTATTCAGTCTGGGACCCCAGTTCACAGGCTGGTGCCCCTCATATCAGGGTGGGTCTTCTCCAATTAAGCCTCCCTCTCTGGCAACACAGATGCACCCCAGAGGTTGTATCTCCTGGGTGATTCTAAATCCTTTCAAGTTGACAATATTAACTGTCACAGTCTGATAATGTAATTATTATTATTATTATTATTATTGTTATTGTTGTTGTTGCTGTTATTTTGCATGATTTGACTGAAATGTCCCCCAGGCCTGCCTCTGCTGAGGCCTCCCAACCCCTGTTCCCACTAAACAGCTAGGCTTGAAGGCTGTTTTCTCCTGAGTGAAATATGTGATGACATCTCTAGGTGACAGTGTGTACCAGCCCCTTAAGCCTGTTTAGAGCCCAGAGGCTCTGGTGAAGTACCCAACGCTCTCATAAGAGGTCAGTCCCCAACCTGTACCTTGTTCTGTCAGTCTTCTGATTTCCAAGGCCAGCTCACCTGGACAGAAGGCTCTGTAGCCCACTAAACAATGGGAAACTGGAGCCTCCAGTGGGTGCTGGACACTCTGCTAAGACCCCTGCTCTAGCTTGCTTCTCTATTCCTATGATAAAACCCTCTCGACCAAAACCAACTTGGGGAGGAAAGGGTTATCTCATCTTACACTTCCGAATGACAGTCATCTTTGAGAGAAGTCAGGCAGGAAGCCAGGGCAGGGACCTAGAGGCAGGAGCTGAAGCACAGACCTTGGAGGAACGCTGCTTACTGGCTTGCTCCTCCGGCCAGTGCTCAGTCTGATTTCTTATACAGCCCAGGACCACTTGCCCAGGGGTGGCATCACCCACAGTGGGCTGAGCCCTCCACATCGCTCAACAATTAAGAAAATAGCTCACAGACAAGGCCAACCTGATAGAGATGGTTCCTCAGCTGAGGTTCCCCCTTCCCGTGTGTCAAGTTGACAACTGTGACAACTGCATTCTCCTTGATCTTCTGTGTACCTGTTGCTTCTAACCACAGGAACTGTTCCTCTTGGGAGGCCTCCTGGAGTTGAAAAGCCCCTAGGACCCTGCATGGCCCACCTCCTGGAACAGCTGTGCTCAGCCACCACCTGAGAGTTCAGCAGAGAGTGTGAAAATGCAGCTCCCTGGATGAGCAAGTGCACTCACCTCCCAGAGTTCACCAGGAGCAGGCAGATCTGGGACTCAGCCCGCACACTGCCCTGGCTCAGCCTTGCTCCCCCATCCCCGACCCCCCACCCCCGTCACCCTTCTGAACACTCTCCTTGGTTCAGCCTGGGAGTGCTTGGCCCTTACAGGCACCCTACACAGACCACAGGTCCCTAGCCAGGTACACCCAGAGGGACAAGTGTCTGAGTCACCCAGAGAAGTCTAAGCTCCGTTTGCAAACACAGTCCTCTGACTGCAGAGTCCTGGGGTTCTGAGCCAGGAGACCACAGTGTCTGTGTGTCAGTTGCCATAGGAGCACAGAGCACATGCTAGCGCCAACTCGGAAGGAGCGCAGGCTATATAAGCCAGATAGCAACTTCCCTCATGGGCTGTGTGGCCCCAATATAAACTCCCAGCCAACCTCTAGTTCCCCTGACAGTGTGCCCCTTCCTCTGTACAGAAAGTAAGAAATATTTTTTCCCTGTAAGGCAACACTTTGTCATCTGAACGTGTGATGTGAGGCACACGCAGAGCCATGGGGACTGTAGGGACAGGAACAGGTCTGGTTCTGCGCGGTGTACTCTACAAAGACAACCATTCTAGAGTTCTTCCTCCTCCATGGCCCTGGATTACCTGAGCCCCATCCCACATCCTCTGATTCAACCCTCAGTCTCCATGCGTCAGTTCCCAGGATGCAGAAGAGGACTATGTCTGGCACAATTCTGGAGATGCTGCTGCCTGGATTGGAGACCTGCTGCACCCCAGGGAGTAAACATTAGCTGTTTGGCTCTCCCTAGTCAGCCAGAGGAAAGCTACTGTCCTTCAGAGGAGAAAGCCAGGGATCACCAACTGGCACAGTCACAGAAAGAGTAGATGGCTGTAAAGGAGACATCTCAGGGCTCCAAAACACTGCAGAGAATGTAGACAGACAGACTAGGTAAACCTCGGGGAAAACAAGGACTTGTGTGGACTGTGAGAGTTTGTTTTTCCTTTCCCCTTTTATTTGTAGTACATTTATTTACCTGTGCATGTCCGTGTTTGTGAAACAGTATATATGTGGAGGTCACAGGACAACTTACAGGACTTGGTTCTGTCCTTTCACCATGTGGGTCCTGGGGACTGAACTGAGGCTTAGCGGCAAGCACCTTTACTCGCTGAGCCATCTCACCAGCCTATGTTATTTCTTCTCACGGAAATTCATACAGAGAATCGGAACTCACTCCTACTGTCAGAGTGTTTGTGTTTCATTTATTTACCATGTTTCTCCTAGAAGAAAACTCAGAGAAGTATTTTGTGGTAATAAAGCAGAGCCCAGACTCTGCCTTTGCTTCCTGCCTGTGCGTGATCCACGGTGCAGATCCCATGTGGGGAGGCAGAGAGGGAGGTGGCCTCCCTAAGTCACTTAAAGTGATAATTACACACTGTAAACAGTCTTCGGCATAATTAAAGTTGGAGGCCCAGGGCTATGGTGGCTTTCACTGAGCTGGGCCTCACAGCTTGCTCAGGATGTGCGTGCTCCAGCCCAGGTACAGGCTGCAGCCCTTCTCCCTCCTGCACCAGGATAAAGCCAACCTTCCAATGGGAGCCACACTGTGGCTAGGTGCCTGTCTTAGCATGGCAGATCGAGCCTGTTCCAGAGCACAGAAGAACCACAGTCAGGTCCCAGGGTCCAGAGGAAGCTTTCCCCTGGGTAGAGATACTCTGTTTCCTGGATTCCGGAGACCCCAGGGCCTGAGAACAAGCCTACCCATCTCACTTCTCCCTCCCCAAAGGCTCCAGGCCCCCAAGTCCACTTCCAAGTCCGCCCTCAAGCCCCATTCCACCTCTGGCACCTTATCCAGCCATTCATTTGTCATTTATTCCATAAATATTACCTGGCTGCCTCCCAAGAACCAGACCCCTCACCAGAATGGTTGATTCTGCCTCCCAAATGTTCTCCACATCACCTCAACTCCCTCATAGATGACTTGGGATCCCTGCTGCTATAGGGAGAGACAGACACCCTAAGGAGATCCTATCTGTATAAATAGTCTCCCCAGGCATCTGAGTCCAGAATGATTGGTATCATTCTCACTTCCCCAAGGACATTTACAGACACATTCCTCACCTGTATAATGGGTATACCTTAGCTAAATGTGCTCCGCCGTCTTTTTAGAATGGGACATTCCTTCCAGAGAATTCCTTCTCCTCCCCCTGCTGCCTGTTGGAGAATCAGGCACTGGCCTGGCCTCAGGCAGGAAACCTCCTCCTTCTTCTGAGACCTAGAAGGAACCCCTTGTGGGCCTCAACTTTCCTCAGAGACCCCAACATGGCACAGTCCATCTGTCTGTCTCCGGCCATAGCATTAAAAACTCTTGTGAGAAACCTCTCATCCAAAAGGACAATCTGCCTCAGTGTCCCCTTTGAACCCCAAACTCCCAACATTTCAGTAACCAGAGTGGGCACCCCTCAGCTTGGGCAGAAAGAGCCATACTTCCAGATGTTTAACAGAAGTTGTTTCACATCCCCCAACCCCATTGCTCTTGCCAATCCTCCCCGATGGGAGTGCTCTTCTACGTAAAAATAATCAGGTCCACAGCGTCTCTGTCTCTGGCCACAGGGCAAAACATTCCTTCCCTTGTGTGTTTTGGTGGATTTTTTTCCTTGCGGTCTTTTATTTTTCCAAAACAGGCCCTCAGTTGGTTTTCATTACCCATGTGACCACTGGGAGTCTAATCCCAAATGCAAGACCCAAATTTCAAGACCATGAATTAAGAAAACCATGTCCAGAAAGAATACGGCATTCCAGAAAGGAGGTGGGGTGCTTCAAGGCCACAAGTCCACCCCCCATTTCTGTTCATGCTCTGATGTGGCCTGGGTCCCTGCTTCTACCTCTGTACAGTGGTGAAGGTGAGGTTGGTGTCGATGGGGGTGCATTATTTAAACATCTGAAGTTATCTCTGGGGAGGCTGAGGAACCCTGTCCTGGTCACTGGTGATTGCTGAATCTGTCAGCTAACAAAGGTGGCACCACCTCTGAGTTTCGTCTTGAGGAAGGGGGCTCAGACGTGAGAGGAGGGGAGAAACTGGTGCTCTACGGTCACAGCCACATGGAATTTTGCCTGCAGTGCAAGAGCCTTGGCTTCGGGGCTAAAGAGATGGTTCGGTGGTTAAGCGCACTGGCTGTTCTTGCAGTGGACCCAGGCTCACTTCCCAGCACCCACATGGTGGTTAACAACCATCCTTAACTCAAGTTCCAGGGGATCCAATGCCCTCTTCTGACCTCCGTGGGCACTGCACACACAGGGTGGAGGGAGGGGGTACTTACATGCATGCGGCAAAGCAAATACGCACATAAAATAAAATAATCAATTTAGAAAAGACTCAGCTAGCTGCAGGGAGATGTGGGGTGGAGACTGGGGAAGGCAGACTGCTTCAAGCTGCAATTCCTCTTCCCTCCCTCCCTTCTTTCCTTTGTCCTTCCTTCCTTCTTCCCAGCCTTCCTCCTCCTTCTCTCCCTCCTCCCTCCCTCCTTCCTTTCCCTTCCCTCCCTCCCCCCTTCCCTCCCTCCCTTCCTTCCTTCCTTCCTTCCTCTCTTCCTCATTCTTTCCTTCTTCTCTTCCCTCCCTCCCATCCCGACGGGTTATTTCTTTGAACCCCAGGTTGGCCTCAAACTCAAGATCTTCGTACTTCACCTTCACAAGTGCTGGGGCGACAGGCACACACCCCAGTGCCAGCTTTGTCATGCCCCGTCCCCAGAGGCGATGGTGCATCATGATCTGTGAATATTTGGAGGGTGGAGTGCTAGAGGTGTGGACGCTTTTCTGAATGTAAGTTGTACAAACTTCTATTAATGTTTTTTGCCTAAAAAGTAGACAGAAAGTCGCTGGCACTCCAGCCACTCGCTCTTCGTGAGCTCCTGCATGTCTTTCTTGTCATCTCTACAACAGAGAGTCCTTGGGGCCCAGTTTTGTGGATCTAACAGGCTTCTTCTGCCCCTTGCATGCGGAGTGACTTCTGGCAGCTGTGCTTGGATTTCCTCATCTGTGAAGTGCAGACCGTGGCCACATTGATGGGGTGGGGGGGCCGTATCCTCTTCTTGGGGCTCGCTGAGATCAGCTCCATGCAGGGATCAGCACAGGGCTGCTGCAGTTTTCTGAAGCCCACATACCTCTCCCAACTCCTCTAGACTCTCTAAAGCCTCTCATGCCACCTCCCCAGGCTAAAGTGGGAACTTGGAGAGGGTAGGTCTCCTTGGGGTGCTCCCTGGTGCCTAGCTGGGCTGGGCTGTGGACAGTCAATGAATACCAATGCCCTTCCTGAGAGTAGGGAGGCAGGCACTTCTAGGGCAGGAGCTGATGGGGTGGAGGGTCTATGTGGCCCTCACTCATCCCCTGCTTAGAAGGGGCCACTGCCCTCAAACCAAGCCAACCATCCCGAGCTGGGAGGAGGGGAAACAAAAAGCAAAGAGGAGAGGTTGGCAGGGTCCCACCTCCTGTGCTCCAGGAAGTGTGGGGACCAGTCAGGGGGAGGGGGTCTCAGCTCAGAACCATGCCTCCAGTTTCCTGCCAAGGTGGTAGACACTGTTTAAAGCTGCAGGCTGGCAGACTGAAGTGGGTCACTGGGGGTACTTTTAGAGGGTTCTAGACTGGCCCACTTCTGATCTAACCTCTCTGCTTCCAGACCAGATGCTGCACAGGAGATGCCTCGCTCCCAAGGACTCTGCCCCCACCTTTCCCAGAGGAAATAAGTCCTTTCTCCCCTAAAAAAAAGTTATGCCAGGCACCTGAAGGCCAGAAAGAATGTTCCCTCGGGATACTGAAGGCTCCGCTTGTCACTACCAGGCACCCCGCAGATTCCTTTGCAGCTGAGCTCCCCAATTAGCCATGAGCTGTGGCCAGAGGAGTGGTGGGACTTCCGCCAGCTGGAGCACCAGGGTGTGGCAGGCCTGGCAGGCGCTGAAGCTCAGTTTCGCCCAGGCAGGCCACCAGGGGCTGTCGTCTAGGAGCCCCCGCTGCTCCCAGGAAGCTGTCTGACAGCACATAATGAAAAATCTTTTAATCTTTGTCACCGTGGGTAGGCAAGCGGGCCAAAAGTCTAGATGTTTCCAAGGGAAATTTTAATTAGTATGTAAATTTGAGTCTCAGCATTCAAATGTCATTTGCTTAGTAAATGTTGCTGCTCAGGCGCAGGTATTTATTTGATCCTGTCCTGCCAAGGTGCCTTTGTGGCTTTCCTGAGTGTGTAATAACAGCATTTCAAAACAAAATGAAATTTTCCCTCTGCGGCGATGTGCCTGGGGGACGGCTTCATCGCCAGCGATGTGAGCTGAATATTTTAGGGAGGCTGTGCGGGCACTTTCAGAGGACACCCTCCCTCCTTCCCGCCTGTGGGGTTGGTCTACAGGCTGCAAGGAGACCCTCTCCAGCCCAAATCCAGACCCAGAGTAGACCCACAAGGGGCCCTGGCTGGGGCCTCCGCGGTAACTGCCGGTAACCTTCAGTATGCATCCAGCAAACTCAAAAGAAGAGGGCCATTTGAGCAAACAGCAAGACACATGAGTGCCTAGAACGCTCCTGTGCAGCCCGTCTGAGGAAAGGGTGGAGGAAAAGGACCTGTGGCCATGGCCCTTAATCCCAGGATAAAAGGTGACTTAACCACAGGGCTGCAAAGGTCAAGAAAGAGGCTTCTAGCCCTCCCATGGGCTGCAATGTCCTCGTGTGTGGTCAGAGCATATTCTGAATGTCAGGGGAGCCTCAATGCACCACAAGTGTGTGTGTGTACATGTGTGTGCATGTGTGTACATGTGTGTACATGTGTGCAGGAGTGGGAGCAGCCTTGCTGTAACCCTAAACCCCACACGTCCTATGGCAGAGACATTTGTCTCCTGACTGTGTGGAGACAGCGGGTATGCCAGGTCTGAGCTGGCTGTGTGTGCACATATGCCTGGGTGCACTTGTGGGTGTGCATGTGTGTGCACGTGTATGCCTGAGGGTCTACATTCATGTTGTGTGCATGAACATGTGTACGCATACACATGTACCTGTGTGTATATACATGTGCTATAGATGCATGTAGATTTATGGGTCTGGATGTGGCATATGTACATGTGTATGATGTGTGTGCATATGTTACACATGTGAATATGCATGTGTGTGCCTGTTGGTATGCATGCAGATAAATATGAATGAGTACATTGTGTATGCACATATGTGTCGGCAGCTATACATATATGTACTCATGTGAATGTGTGTGCACATGTGTGCATATTGTTTGTTGCATGTGTGTGGCTGTAAGTCTGTAGGTAGCTGTGTGTATCTGTATGCCTAAATGTTGTGTATGTGAATATGCATATGTGTACCTGTGGACATGCATGTAGAGAGGTGAATGTATATAAACATCATGAGTGTGTATATGTGTGTGCCTGTGCATATACATGTGTATATATGCATAGGAATATCCATGTGTGTGCATGCATACATGTGTGTATGTGGGTATACATGCATATAAGTATGTATATGAATTATCGCATTGTGCACGAATGTATGTCTGCAGGTTTCAGTGCAAGTTGCATGAGAATGCATGTGCATGTACATGTGCTGCTGTTGCAAGTGTGTCTGTTGATACACAAGTAGATGGGTGTATGTATGCCTGTGTACTGTGAATATGATGACTGGTATGTGCCTGTTGTGTATATGCAGATGGGTAGATGGGTATGCCTCCCACTGCAACACCTGTAAATTTATATGGAATGATGACAGGCCCACAGCCATGTTCTTCTTACAGTTCCATCCAGTGACCTCAGCCTCCCAGGAGTGCACGGTACTGTAGACTGGATGTGTGGGTCTCCTCCTTGTCGAAGCCACAACCCTAATACAAGGGTATTGGAGGTAGTGGTTTGGGGAGCTGATTTGGTCATGAAGGTGGGGCCTTCATCAATGGAATTAGTGCCCTGATTAAGAAGAGATACAAGAGCTGCTCTCCCCGACCCTCCTGCATGAAGACATTGCAAGAAGGTGCTACATGGCCACATAAAAGAAAAGGCTCTCACCAGACTTCAGGTCTGCCCAGAACCACGATCAATAAATACTGGTTATTCAAGATACCCAGTCTAAGGACTATTTGTTTTAGCACCTTGTATTAGTTACTTTTCTGTTGCTGTGATAAAAACACCATGACCGAAAGTGACTTATGGAAGAGAGAGTTGATTTTAGCGTACAGTTCCAGAGGGATAAGAGTCCATCATGACAGAAAGGCATGGAAGCAAGCAGCAGCACGTGGCAGGAACCAAGAGCTGAGGACTCACAACTTCAACAGCAAACAGGAAGTAAAGAGAGCTAACCGGAAGTGGGACAAGGCTAGGAACTCTTAAAGCTCACCTCCAGTGACATGCTTCCTCTCGCAAGGCCCCACCTCCTAAAGGTTCCATGACCTCCCCAAACAGCACCACCAGCTGGAGAACAACTGTTCAAATACTTGAGCCTCTGGAGAACATTTCTCATTCAAACCACCACTCACCCACCCTAAGACCCTAGGTAAACAGAGCATTGAACTTGTACTGGAAAGAACGCATTGTGAATACTGAATAGGGAAACAGGTTGGAGAAGGCAATGTAGGGTGAAACCTCTGGGGCTTCCCCTGGATGGGTGAGGGCTGGAGCTGAACCTGCTTGATTCAGCATTTCCCTAGACAGCAGTCCTCTTTCACAGGTACACATCTTAGAAAACCCCACAGGTTTTCATAGTCAAGTCATTGTCACACCTCAGTTCCCAAGGCCTCCTGAGTGTGCTCTCAGTGGGGAGAGGGGCTTAGAGTTCAAAGTACTTTCCAACCTCCAAGTGAGCCTCCAACTGTGGGCCCAGCTGAAGGTGCCATCAAGGAGGCAAGTTAAGTGATTTTCAAGGTGCTTTTGACTCTTCCTGATTTTGCTTTTATTACCGTCTTTGAACTTGATGACCGGACCATATGCCCATCCTCACAGGGACACAGGAACGTTGTGGGGCCAACTCAGGAGTCCAGGCAGTGGAGGGGTGAGGACAGTCAATTCTGAGACGCCCATGTTCCCTCACACCAGGGGCATGAGTTGACCCTTCTCCCAGCTCAGCTGTCTGGGGCAGAGACAAGAAGTCAATCAGAGAACACCATTCAGGAAAATGAGCCAGAGATGAAGGAAACTTCTGCCCCACTCCATCATTGCATCACTTGGGGCTCCCATTCCAAAGGGACAGGACAGAGCTGGAATAATGGCAAAGCCTGCAGACCCCTCTCTGCCTGCATCCCTTTCCTCCTTCCTCTCTCCTGCTGAAGGACTTGCCTTTCTGACTGAGGCTGAAGCAGTCACTTGCTACAGCTGGAGAGGCAAAGGAACCCCATCCCTGGTAGGCATTCAGGAGGGTGAGGTGCATAGCCTAGTGCTATAGCTAATGGATCTTTGATCCCTTCAGTTCTGAGGGAGGGAAGCTGCAGAAGTTCAGGGTCCTGTTAAACAAATGACTGCTTTTCAAGTACAGTTGAGTCTCAAATATGGCGTGGGACATATCCTAAACATTCTTTGTTATTGAGCTAATCTGACCTAATGCTTTTGGCTCTTACCTTCAATTCCCTTCAAAGAACTGCCCTTGAGCTGCTGGGCCTCACGTGGCCAAGGGTTTTCATCGCTGACATTTTTCCACCTGTGACTGGCAAGCTAAATTTGCGTGAATGCCCTATGCATGGGCTCGTGGTGTATGGCCCATTTGAATTCCCAGACTGAGGCTGGGGCTTGTACTGAAATCCCACTGCCTTCCTCTGCCTTTCAGGGCAATGACTTCTTTTTTTTAATAAAGTTTTATTGTATCTATTTTTTGAAGCTTGTGGACTTTTTTCTGGTTTTATGTTTATATGAGTGTGTGTATGTGTGTATGGGTTTGTGCACGTGAGTGCAGTGCCTGTGGAGACCAGAAGATAGCATCAGATGCCCTGAAGCTGGAGCTACAGGCAGTTGTACGCTGCCCAACATGGGTGTTGGGAACTGAACTTGGATCCTTTGGAAGAACAGTACATGCTTTTAATCACTGAGCCATCTCTCTGGTCCTGACAGTGCCTTCATATGCATCCTGCAAAGTGCCTGCTGGTCTGGATGCTCTTGGGGGTCTTGACCTGGGCCTGAAAGTCACATAAAACACTCCTTTGACTGTGGAAAGTCTTCAGGGACTCAATCTTCTTTGCTGTGCAGCCTGCCTGGGAAGATGGTCCTGCAACCCTTGTGTGACCATGGCCCATCTTCCATGAGTGGAATGTCTTGGCGTCATGGGAAGGTGGGCAGGCTCTCTCCCTTTAACAAAACCTGTGTGTGTGTGTGTGTGTGTGTGTGTGTGTGTGTGTGTGTGTCCCATGAGTGGAATGTCTTGGCGTCGTGGGAAGGTGGGCAGACTCTCTCCCTTTAACAAAACCTGTGTGTGTGTGTGTGTAAGAGTACAGGAACCAGTCACCCTTTATTGGACATTAGTTCTCAGTCAGGATATGGAAAGATTCATCCTTGGTTGAATTCTTCATGGGTGGGAACTGGGCAGGCAGTCATGTCCAGGAGTGCAGTGCCCTCTCTATAGTGACACCTATGTAGTCGCTCATGTTTGAGTTCCTTGTAAGAGACACCGTGGCTGAAGAGCACATAGGCCTCAGCACTATGCTGACACCAGAGATGCTCCCTTTCTTCACGTTGATGGACTTGTAGTAACCTCTCTGAATTGCTTGACAATGCCTCTGGGAGGTGAAGTCCCCCATTGGTATACAGTTTGGTAGCTCTCCCAGTTTAACTTCCATGAGTTTCTTCTCCTTCAGTGGTACAAATGATGCCATTTTGGAGTCCTGGTGTCTGTAGATTTTTTTTGTTTTTGAAAACGGAGTCTCCCTGTAGCCCCAGCTAGCCTGGAATTTGTTATGTAGACTAGATCTCACAAAGATCCGCCTATCTTTTTTTTTTTAGATCCACCTATCTTTACACATACACACACACACACACACACACACACACACACACACACACACAGCATGTGTCACAACAGCTGGCAAACACCATTGAGCTTTGAATAGGTTCTGGAGGCACCAGCTGCAGAGGTGTTGTTATGACAGAACTAGATCAACACTTAGGCTAGGTGATCAGAGTTCTACCACGTGCAGACTCAGGTGGTGAAATAGACCTGGTTCCTATGGAGAGGGACACTCATGGGACAAG